TCTTGTCTAGAGAAATGGCAGTTATTTACTGTACTGAAGTATCAGTATAAGTAACCTTAATTACAATTGATTCTTGTCTAGAGAAATGGCAGTTATTTACTGTACTGAAGTATCAGTATAAGTAACCTTAATTACAATTGATTCTTGTCTAGAGAAATGGCAGTTATTTACTGTACTGAAATACCTTTGTATATGCGTGTTAATGCGCTCAAGTGTGTGTAATAATATATCCACTTAATTAAGTTTAATTCAGTTTGACGTGATTATTGATTTTTGATGAAAGGGAAATCCACTTCAGATTGCAGCAAACTATTAGGTTGTAATTTGTATATCTTATTTTTTTTTCTTGTGTGTGTGTGTGTGTGTAGCACTTGCCTAACAGTAGCGATCCAACATCCAACTGTAATTTATCATCATCTAATGTTTCCAATATATATCATGATACTGGAAATGGATCAGGGCCTCGGGTATCGGTGGAGTTGGGCATGACCGAAGGAAACAGGTATCATTACTCTAACGTCCAGACGCAACCCCTGTCAAGGCTTCAGGATAGTGTTGATGTCAGTGTGATGTATTATGGGATGCCTTCTAACGGATCAGAGCCTAGCCTTCATTCTCCAACTTCGTACTCCAAGTCCACTGTCATCTCCTCCAGTCAGCCCTCACCCCAGACCCCTCAAACACCAACCATTATTTTGACAGGTAAGCCTGTAATTATATCATAAGTACTAAGAGCAAGGTTGTAGTTATTGGATATTAGTTGCTGTCATGGTTAGTTGCCTCTGATCATCAAATTTCTTATTACAAGATACTGATTGCTAACTAATTTTGTAGCTGGGATTTGATCCTGGATTTGGTACTTACTTGTATTGGGGTTACTTCAATACCAATTGAACCAACTAATTATTTAAAAGCTTTCAAGAGAAAGTATCCAGGTTTTGCTGGCTATTATCCTATGTTGACTGAGTGTGCTATCAGTTAAGTTTAATGCAGGATGGTTCTTAACTCTTTGTTACGTCATATTCCATGAGTTTCATATTGTTCCATTTTATTGCAGGATCTTGTTGTGTCATATTCCACGAGTTTCATATTGTTCCATTTTATTGCAGGGTCTTGTTGTGTCATATTCCACGAGTTTCATATTGTTCCATTTTATTGCAGGGTCTTGTTATGTCATATTCCATAAGTTTCATACTGTTCCATTTTATTGCAGGGTCTTGTTGTGTCATATTCCATGAGTTTCATATTGTTCCATTTTATTGCAGGATCTTGTTGTGTCATATTCCAAGAGTTTCATATTGTTCCATTTTATTACAGGGTCTTGTTGTGTCATATTCCATGAGTTTCATATTGTTCCATTTTATTGCATGGACTTGTTCTCTGGCATAATGGATAGATCAGTACTGGAGAGTTTTGTGTGTTTATTATGCTAACTTTTGTTGGTCTGTTTGTTTCTTCATTGTCTTGGAGTTCACATTCTTAAGGGATGTTGCAAGTGATCTTTTTGTGTTCTGACTGTGGTGTATGGTGTGATTGTATTGTGTTCTGACTGTGGTGGCTTTTGTATGTTTTCAGTCCTTTGATATAGAGAGTAATAAATATGTGATGCCATAATCTTCTTTGTTTATTCCTGGTGTTTAACTTCTTTATTAACCTATGTTCACCTTTAGGGGTCAAAGTGCACATGTCATGACCTTTTGCATAGTGCTATTCTATATAGTATTTGATGTCAAGAGTTATGAAATATTCATTTTATCCTACATTACTTATTTAGCAACAGTACTTGGTAGAGGAGAGTAAATATCAGATAACGTATACGAGGATGGTACAAAAACTGTAGATATCCATTTCATACATTTAGAGGTTATGAAAATACAATACGAAAACTGTACGATACGTAAACTGTATGACATGTAAACTGTACGACACTTAAACTGTATGACACTTAAGCTGTACGACATGTAAAATGTACGACATGTAAAATGTACGACATGTAAACTGTACGACATGTAAACTGTACGACATGTAAACTGTACGACACGTAAACTGTACGACATGTAAACTGTACGATACGTAAGCTGTACGACACGTAAGCTGTACGACACGTAAGCTGTACGACACGTAAGCTGTACGACACGTAAGCTGTAAGATGGACAAAAGTATTTTTATTCTTCACATGAACATCACTTTGTACTTTGAGTTGTAAGAGTCCAAGTCAGTCTCATGTCATTAATTCACAGACACTGGTCCATTGGACTTACCCCATGTACATTCAGTTAAGTGCTTAGGATACCCATCAAGGTGAGTTCTAGTGAAGTTTGTTCAGCATGTTTTGTATTATGAATCTTGTACTTATTCTGCAAACTAGACTGTCATTCCCACTTGTTGTGGTAGTTTGATCCATAATCAAACTAGACTGTCATTCCCACTTGTTGTGGTAGTTTGATCCATAATCAAACTAGACTGTCATTCCCACTTGTTGTGGTAGTTTGATCCATAATCAAACTAGACTGTCATTCCCACTTGTTGTGGTAGTTTGATCCATAGTCAAACTAGACTGTCATTCCCACTTGTTGTTGTAGTTTGATCCATAGTCAAACTAGACTGTCATTCCCACTTGTTGTGGTAGTTTGATCCATAGTCAAACTAGACTGCCATTCCCACTTGTTGTGGTAGTTTGATCCATAGTCAAACTAGATTGTCATTCCCACTTGTGGTAGTTTGATCCATAGTCAAACTAGACTGTCATTCCCACTTGTTGTGGTAGTTTGATCCATAATCAGACTAGACTGTCATTCCCACTTGTTGTGGTAGTTTGATCCATAGTCAAACTAGACTGTCATTCCCACTTGTTGTGGTAGTTTGATCCATAATCAAGGTATTTTCTGATATATGTAAACTCTGTGTTCTATATTTTAGTAATTATCATGTCTAAGTATGGGAAGTTTTTATTTATGTTGTTGATTGTATTGTTGGATGCTGTGTGTTTGTGAATTCTGTAGTGTATGGTTGTATATTATCAATATAATGTGAACATATCTCAGCCAGATCCTGGTATCTTCCAAATGTCACATGTAGAAGTTCCTGTGTACCGTGATAGGGGAGAGCCTTTAGCTAGGCCTTCTTCTTATTGGTAGTGTCCATCTTCACGTTGAAAGTGAGTTTTGTGTTGATACAGAAGCTTGCGAGTTATTTTATCATGAAGAATGTCAGTTGGGTGCATTTTCTGAGATTCTTATAGATTTCATGTTGCTGGCAGAGTATGTATAGTCTTTAAAGGGTTGTTATGTTAATGAAAAGGTTGGATACGTCAAAACTAATTGTTTCTTGTAATGCTATTGTTGTTGTTTTTATAATCTGTGAACTGAGTTGTAAACATGTAAAGATGTTTCACCTATTTTTATGAATACTTGGCTAAGGGATGGCATTATCAATGTCTGCTGTTAATTTTGGGATGGAGATAATTTCCTGATTTATGAATTTAGGTAGACGATAGTTATGTGGGATGGTGCTGTGGTGTACCATTAATTGTGTCCCTTCCATCTTCTTTACAATGTTTCTTGAGAAGTTATTAAATATATTTCTTTGTGTTAGCTGTTGGGCTGGATTTGGTCTTTGTTTATTGGCCATCTTAAATTAGTGTGGAGCTTATTGGTGGATTCCTCTTTTTCAATGATTGTAATGGCATTACCTTTGCCTTCTGGTATATTTGTTTTGATGTTTTGTTTCTTTAACTTCCTAAAGGCATTTTTTTCTATGTTAGGGGTATTACAGTGGATTTTCTTGGATTGCTGACCTTATTTTAATTTGAATTCTTCTTTTTTTTGTGTTCTGGTTGATTGTAAGTTTGTCTTTCATGGTAGTAACTATAGTTAGGGTGGGTGTTTTGTTAAGTGTCCTTTAGTTAGAATGCTGCTTTGTTTCTTTAGGTTTAGGTGTGTCTGTAATGTTGAGAATTGATGAATGAATTTAGTTTCTTGATGTAAAGTTTTTTATTGTGTGAAGTCTCAATGGCTGTGTGTGTATCGTGGTACGTTTGTGTTGTCTGTTTTCTGATGTACACTGTTATATTTATGCTCTGTCTTGTGGTTGTGTTATGTGGTATTTTGGATTCTATATCGGGACTTTTCATTGCTAAGTTTCTAAGCTAATCTTTTACGTGGGGGTGTTGACAAGAAACTTGACGTGAAGTGTTTCAGGAATTATGTTGGTTATATTTATGGAGAAAGGTGACATGTTTCAGCTCATTTATGTTTAGGTCTTTCTAATTAAATACTTACTTTCCTGACAGTAAAGATAAAGAAGAAGAAGAATTAAAAAAGATAAACACCAAGGATAGGCGGGAGAAAATTACACATATGGTCATATTTCCATATGTTAAAGATCTCTATGAAAAAATGTAGCATAAAGTCAGAAGTTTTAAGAAGCCAAAACACAATGTGATTGTAGTTAATACTCACCAAACCAAGACCCAATGGAGAGAAAAAACAGTGATTAGAACATCTTGTTATGAATGTTAGACTACCGAATACCTGTAATATCCCATCATACCAGAATAATATAAAAATAATGGCGTATGAACGAGAAAGAAGATAAAAGTATCCTCCTACCTGATAACGTGTTTATACAACTCAGTGTAGACAAAACTTGGATACCTCGTGTGAAAGTGGTTCACTTTATAACGATGAAGACCCAGGATTAATTCCCAGCCACTCCCACTGCAAACACAGTCTTTTTCAAAACCTACCTGAAGATGGCAGCACATTAGCAGCTCAAATTTAGAGTGCAAGACTAGTTAGTTGCTGGTGTATAGCAAGAATAAGTAAACAAGTAATTGATTAATGATTAGACTTAGTTGATCAGACAGACTATATCCATGACAGCTATAAGTATTTCAGATCATTATTTCTTGCAATATAAGAATTATTAACAGAATTTACTATATGTGGTAAATTCTTATTGGTGGTATGCAGTGATCTGTAAGATGAAAACATGCTCCAGAACTAGTTGTGCTAGTGTAAAAAATACACAATAGTGTATTTCCTGATTCTTTGAACATAACCTATACAATACATTTAAAGAATAACTGTAACAAGTGGTGTCATTGCGATGACAAGTCAAAAACCATTGTTAAAAGTTCAGTCACTCTTCTAAGTACATTGTTATACAAGTTATTAGTGAAGTGATTTTTGGTGTTTTTGTCTTTACTACATTTAGAATGGTTTCACATAGTCTTGTCTCAGTTTCCACTCTCAAGTGGAATATCTACTGCTGCATATCAAAACCTATGTATAAGTAGATGTACCAACCTGTACCACATGACTACAACCTAGATATAAGTAGATGTACCAACCTGTACCACATGTTACCACTGACTACAACCTAGATATAAGTAGATGTACCAACCTGTACCACATGTTACCACTGACTACAACCTAGGTATAAGTAGATGTACCAACCTGTACCACATGTTACCACTGACTACAACCTAGATATAAGTAGATGTACCAACCTGTACCACATGTTACC